GGCGTGTAGGGTTCAAAAAACCCTACACGCCCATATTTTATTTTATTTTATTTGTAAGCTAAAATATAGGAAAAAAATAGGTGCACCAAACTCGGCTGGTCGGCCGTGGCCGAACCCGGCYGACGGCYGCGGCCGCGGCCGAGTTTTCSGCCCCGGCCGTGACCRRGCGTGCAATATAGGCCCCTACCAACTCAAACGAACTACGGACCTCCCTCAACATCGCGGGAACCTTCCCTCACTRATCTACAATAACGCCGCCCCCAATGTCATTGAACGATGGATAGACTRGCCGGACTCCGCGAGGCATGGCGGCCAACTGCTTCTTGTGCCGAAGCCATGACCGCCTCCTGAATGCAGCAAATGGGATACCGGAATCGTACTTCCATTGCAAAAAGGTGTCCCTRAAGCCGGCCTGGCCATCGGGACAGGGATCGTACACCTCATCCAGTCTGGACTGCCGATGTCTCTTGCGCGCCTGMGGCACGACCTCAACTYCACTCTCCACCGGCCTCTTCCCCGCTCGGCCCCGTGCGTCCCCCTCGTGACGGTCAGCCGCACTGCTCCCTCGCGCAGTCATAACCACCTCCTCTCCCGACAAATTTGGTTTTGTGCCTGTCCCTCCAACCTCCTCAACTCCCCCGGCTTCTGCTCGCATGACCTTCTCGTCAAGGAACTCTTGCACCTCCCCTACAGGATCACGCTCCTGTGGTCGCGACTGTGTCGCACCCGTCCTCCCCTTGCCACTGCCTTAATGGACGTCCACGGCTCGTCTATCCGCGATATCRTGCTTCCTCGTGTACGCCAAGATACCGTGGTGATGACGCTGATCGAACTCRTACTCTGTGTGGTTCCAAATATCCACAAAGACGCCCATCGTTGCTGCCCCACACCTCTTCAACTGCGTGAAGTGGCGTTGTGCCTTAAACAAATTACSCTACCACACATGCTTGCAATAATTGCAGCGCAGCTTGTGGTCCCCATGCCTCTTCTCCCACGTCCCCAACCTCTGACCCTGGGTCACATGACGCCACACTCTCAACTTCCTGCTCAGTTCATTCATTTGCACATCGGGCGATGGAACGAAATCGCCGCCCCCTGAACCGCTCGCACCACCCGTCATTTTATATGATAACGGTCCTCAACCCCTCCCCCCAAGCCCCCCCTGCCCCCCCCAACCCTAAACGTCGACGATGAAACCCCGCCTGAAGACCCGATGTGTTTCGCCTCCGCAGCAGGCCCGAGGTGGTCCTCCTCGGACGCGGCCAAGTCCGACCCCGTGCGGACGTGTCCGACTCCGCGCGGCCGCGAAGGAGTCTGCGGACTGGGCCTCTCGACCGTGTTTGCGGCCGCGCCCACGGTGGCAGATGCTGGGCGGTCATCTTCGCCCACGCACCGCCAGCTACCGTCTTAACCTGAAAAAAGAAAAAAAAGAAAAAAAAAAGGTAAGGAATATGATAAAACGAGAATGAAAAAGACAATCAATCTATCAATCAATCAATCAATCTCATCAATAAGTCAATCTAATCAATCAATCAGTCAA